CAATCAACAGCAACTATGGCTCCCTTCTGTGTATTCTGACAGTTAGGTGGGTGCTAATACATAAAATAATATGTTTCTCACTCTTTGCCCCAATCATGACATTTATCTTTTTATTTTATCTTAATAATATTGTCCGTCTAGCACACATACATGCATACACACTCGTTACCAAATGCATTAACAGTACGATTTCATATCTCCTGCTAGTGGTAATATTAAAGTTCCTCTTCAGGCATTTATTAAACACCTTAAAATACACCTCTGTTCATCAAAACTACATATTCATACATTTTTTTCCATGAGAAAAAATCCCTTCATGTCTTAAAATGGCTTAGATGTAACTCTACACCTGATTCAGTATGCACAGTACTGCAAATATGCAATTAAGCCCCGCCCCTTAGCTGTTGGCCTGCAGCTCGTGCATGTCTTCTCACCTTCACTCTGCTCATTAAACACAAACCTCACTAAAGTTGCAAAACACTGGTATGTAGCTTCACCTGCTTCTCCTCCTATACCACTTGTTTTGCCATAGGGTTAATCAAAGTCCCACCCCACAAGCTGACGTGATTGGTTGCTTAGATTTGTGACATACCAAGCCCAGGCAGTCAGACTCAGTTTTATTGAGACTGTCATTGGTACTCTGCAGTTCCACGGAAGAAATACTCAGTCGTGGCATTGACTGCTTATTGCGCCCATGATATGTTTTGTAGCAAAAAAACATGATGTAGAAATGTTATAGATTAAAAACCTCTATAAACCATGATGTCAAAGTGGAAGTCAGAGGTGAAAGTGAAAAGTGAATTGTGAATCACTTTATATATATGTTGACTCAGATATTTGATAGATGCTGTGTAGGAAATGGATAATGTTAGAGTGTGCTTTAAAGGTCCAGTGTGTAGGATTTAGGGGCATCTATTGGCAGAAATGGAATTCATTGTGCATTACCTTAGAATGAGTCGTTTATAACTACATATGGAGCATGTTCTCCTCCATAGTATTTGTCATGTTTCTACAGTAGCCCAGAATGGACAAACCAACCTCACGGCTATATGCCATTAAATCCTACCTGCCCGACCTTTAAAGGTCAGAACACATGAATACATGACAACTATTTGCTGCACAAAGTAAATATGTGATGTATATGTTTAGGTATATAGGCCACAGAGAATCTTTTCCTACACACACAGTAGCAGAGTGGCAAAGCTTACAGGTGGGAAGCTGGTGAGGGATCATGTATTTGGTTAGCAAAGCTTTACTGTAAAATTTGAGGGTATCCTTAAACACAATAGTTTACTCTGACCACTTCAGTGGAGCTGCTCTGTGGCCGACAAGAGGTATGTGTGGGTGTACCGGGCAGTTTGTGAGTATGAATTTGTGTACTGCAGTGATGATGAAGAAGGCCGTGAGTGAAAACGAGCATATGTGCTCAGCAGAGCTTCCTTGGGTCAATGAGGTCAACACGTACACACAGTGAGAGATAGGTGGGAACGGATGCCGACCCCCATAGTGCCTTCAGTCTGCCAGAAACCTGGTGCCAGGTGTCTGAGTTTTATGGGCTCAGCATGAAAGCAGTGATTACTCCACCTGTCTCCTCCGATTTAATACCCGAGCAGTGCAACACATGGAGGAAGAGAGAGGACAGACAAATGTATCACAAAGTTAATCTCTGTATTCCAAGGCACAGTACATCGATATTTGAATGAATTATTTGAGAAACTAAATGATGGATGACTAAATGCAGAAGGAGGTGCCACATGTTCAGCAGTTACAGTAGGATGTGTGAAAAGGGCCAAGAGGAGTGCCACCCTTCAGTCACACTAAGGGAATCAATTAGATCTGTTTGAGTGTGGCCGTGGGCGGATCATGAGACAGTGGGCCCCTGGGCTCAGATATGCAAAGGGCTCCACCACCTCTCCTACATAGTAGCAAGACACACCAACTTTGTCGTGGTTTCGCATCTCTTTGTAGTCATTATACATAACTTTGGGGTTTAGTGTCTCCTTGTGGTTGTTTTGTGCCTTTTTGTAGTCATTTGGGTCTCTCTGAAGTAATTTTGTGTCCTTTTTGGCCACTCGGCAGTCATTTTGTGTCTCCTTGTGGTTGTTTTGCTTGTCTTTGTAATTATTTTGGGTGTCTTTGAAGTTCCTTTATATCTCTTTGTGGCCTTGTCATGGTCTTTTTGAGTATCTTCCTGGTTGGTACGTGTTAATTTGTGTGACATTTTGCCGGTGAAGGCCAGGGGGCTCCCTGACATTTTGGGCCCCTGGGCCTGTGCCCAGTAAATCTGTTCAGTAATCCATCCATGAGTGTGACTGGGTGATTGCAGAGAGACCAGCCACCTGATATAGGCACAATATGCTAAGAGAAAAAAACATGGATGAGCTGTGATGCTTAAAGTTTCTGCTGCGAGTTGCTGTATTTGAGAAAAGCTGATTTAGCGTGCAGTGCCACTCTTCTGGCATGTTTACATTTCTAGAAACAATGGTGTCGTTTTCCTGCATAGCACAGTGTTCCATTTTGTATTTACTGAGCTGCTTTCATATACTATTGCACATGTAAATGCGGAGCAAAAACTGTGAGGAGTTGTCAACACATTCCAGGGCACTAACAGACTGCACATAAAAGGAGAGGGAAAACAATCTGTATCTGTTTTATGTTAATATCGGAGGAACTTGTCAGTTTTGATGTAAAACAAAATACACCCAACAATCTCTCTCTGTTGCGCACACACACACACACACACACACACTGGATGCTCAACCTCAGTTTTTTTATGAGGATAAATATGAATTTCTATGAGTGTGAGTCACACTAGTAACTGACACTGTTGGTGTTTTGTGAGCGCAGCCAAGAGTCTCTCTTTCTTTTTCTCTTGCTAATGTCAACTATTATAAAAACTGATTAATCCTTTTAGTTGTTTATTGTAATAATTGCTACTTTTGACAGTTCACTCATCACACACACACACAAGTAATGACTACACACACAGGAATGTTTAATCATTAATGTTTTTTGGAATTTTTTAAAGAAAATCTAAGTGATCACACACAAGTTTAACATACATGGATACGTTTTAGGATGCATTCCAAGAAACTGATGACTGATTCTTCATCCCCATTGCTCCTGATATTCTATTGTGCTTGTTAAAACTGAGTCTATACCTGTCATCCCTACAGACGTTTCTGGGAGTTGGTGTCATGAAATCGACAAATGAAAGCAAAAGCGTAAAAATATTACAATTCCTCTGGGCGCTCAGCCTGTCAGTCCCCTCCAATCTCTCTCTGCTTGTCTCATTTCGCCCGAACCTGGACGAGCAGGGCGTGCACACTAGCACAGCTGCAGCTCTGGCTCTTCAGAATGTTTTTACTAAATTCACGACACATGTGTATGACTGCTTCCCGAGGGACTGTATCATAAGTAGTGAGTGATTAACTGTGAAGAGCACACAAACTCCCTGTTTATTAAGCCTGTTGTGTAATGGGCTTACAGCCAGAGCTGCCGGCTGTGCCCACCCCACACATTCGTTCGAGAGGATCACTGATACCAAGCTGGTATGTAGATAATCTACCCAGCACAGAGAGCAAAACATGTTGGTATTCTCTGAATAGACAGATACGTAACACAGCAGGGAAGCAGAGCTAATATCAAACACATCATCTTAGATCCTGAAAATAGCAGAGCTAAATTCTGCTTCACCCTGTCCGCTAGTTCATAAGTACGCTAAGGTGAATGGACACTGATGTGTACAAAGGTTTTAGATTCTATTGCTGTAAATATCTTTTACTAGGTGGAAACAGTATATTTAATTTTTGCTCGTGAAAGACGTTTAAGAAGGAGCATAATGGTTACAGGGACAGTTCATCCCAAAATCAAAAGTACACATTTTTCCTCTTCCCAGTAGTGCTGTTTATCAATGTGCATTGTTTTGGTGTGAGCTGCCCGGTGAGATATCAGCTATGGAACTAGATGGCACGGTGCTCAAAGTGCCCCAAAACATTTTAAACCTCCATCGCAATGTCTGAAATCATGACCTGGATTACTCAAGATAATCCACAGACCTTGTTGTGAGCAGTTTCATGTATAAGCTATTTTCATCCTGCCAAACTACATCCGCCAACTATATCACAGCGCAGAATGAAACGTGCACCTACTCATGGATGAGAGGCTTGAGCTTGTGACAGCACAAGATGTAAACATTAGTGGCATCATCTTGGGCTCAGCTGTAATGTTAGCTAGTTCAGTGGTGCTAGGTGAGGTAGCAGTAGATACACGCATCCTTCTGCACAGTGATACGGTTGGTGGTTGTAGTTCAGTAGAGAGAAAACAGTCCCTTCCATAAAATTGCTCTCAAAAAGTCTGTGGATTATCTTGAGTAACCAGGTTATGATTTCTGGAAAGAGATGTTGTTTAATTTTTCAAATGTATTTTTTTGGTGCTTTGATGACCACAAGCTGAGTGTCATCTTGTTGTATTATATTAGAGAGAAAGCGGACATCTCTACGGCAACTCACACGGAAACAGTCTAGACTGATAAATAGCACTACAGGTAAGAGGAAAAATATGTATGTTTGGGGGTGAACTGTCCCTTTAAATAGTAGTTGGCATTCATGATCTCACTTAATTTTATGTCAAGGTCCAGAAGTAACTCTTTGTCAAACTTATTCTTATTTTCAAACTGTGTCTGACTGCATAGGAGCTCATTAAAAGGCAGGGAATGAATGTCTACACGATAGCAGGGCAACAGGACAAATTTGACAGATTCATTCTGCCCTGTTAGACACGTCAACTTAGTCCCCCTAAATATCTGTGGGGTGGCACTGCGGAAAACTGCCACTTGCCTTATTTGTTACACTCTACGAGAAACCCAAATAATCTCTTACTTTCTCACATTCTTTATTCACCTGTTTTACAGTTAATCTAATTCACTACCTTATTGCAGACAGATAATAAAAATGTATACGCTGCAGGCTCTAACATTTTATTTGTTTTCTGTCTTTTAGGCTGAAATCTTGAGGTGACCGCACAATCAGCAGAGGTCAAGTTTGCACCAGATGATCTTCTTTCCTGGCCTCTGCAAATAACTTTCTCCTGGATTAGAAATCCCCACTCTGGAAAGTGCCTGCAGCACCCAGCCCACAGTAAATAAGACTAATGCTCATGAACCTTCCCTCCAAGCCTTTCTCCAGAACACTGCCTCTCATCTAAGCTTTGTGTGAGCAGAGAGAGCAGACAACATGGCGCTCAGCTTGCAGCCGTGGCCTCCTCTACTCTGGCTGTGCATGGGATTGCTTCTTTCCTCTCTGTCTCCCATACATGGCAAAGAATGTCCGCATTTGTGCGTGTGCGAGATCCGCCCTTGGTTTACCCCCCAGTCGACCTACAAGGAGGCAACAACAGTGGACTGCAATGACTTGAGGCTCACGCACATCCCTACCAACCTGTCCACGGATACTCAGGTGTTACTGCTCCAAAGTAACGCCATCTCTCACACCAGTGGAGAGCTGGAGGCGCTTTTCAACTTGACAGAGTTGGACCTTTCCCAGAACAACTTCAGCACTGTGGAAGCTGTGGGCCTCACAAGCATGAACCACCTGACCACCCTGCACCTAGAGGAGAACCAAATCAGCCAGCTGCCAGATCACTGCCTGGGAAACCTCTCCAATCTCCAGGAGCTCTACATCAACCACAACCAGATAAGCTCCATCTCCCCACGGGCATTCGCAGGCCTGCACAGCCTGCTGCGCCTTCATCTTAACTCCAACAGGCTCCATGTCATAGATAGCCGCTGGTTTGAAGAAACACCTAACCTTGAGATCCTAATGATTGGGGAGAACCCAGTTATTGGCCTCCTAGACATGAACTTCAAGCCTCTAGGAAGCCTGAGGAGTCTGGTCCTGGCCGGCATGGACCTCACTGATGTTCCAGCGAATGCTTTCGTAGGTTTGGATACCCTTGAAAGCATTTCTTTCTATGACAACAAACTGGTCAGAATCCCTCAACTGGCCCTTCAAAAAGTTCCCAATCTGAAGTTCTTGGATTTGAACAAAAATCCAGTTCACAAAATCCAGGAAGGAGATTTCAGGAACATGTTACGTCTGAAGGAGCTGGGTATCAATAACATGATGGAGTTAGTGTCAGTTGACCGCTATGCTCTGGACAACCTACCAGAACTGACAAAGCTGGAGGCCACCAACAACCCCAAGCTGTCCTATGTGCATAGGCTGGCCTTTAGGGACATGCCATCTTTGGAGAGCCTGATGCTTAACAACAACGCCCTCACTGCCCTTTACCAGCACACTGTGGAGGTATTGCCTAATCTGCGGGAGATCAGTCTGCATAGCAACCCATTGCGATGTGACTGTGTCATTCAGTGGATGAGTTCCAACAGGACCACAGTGCGCTTCATGGAGCCCTTGTCCATGCTCTGCAACTCCCCACCTGAACTCAGAGGCCAGCGGGTGCGAGAGGTAAGGCTGCTGGAGTCCCCAGAGCAATGTCTGCCACTCATATCCCACAACACCTTCCCCGGCCACTTGAACCTCGAGCTGGGCATGAGCGTCAGTCTCGACTGCAGGGCCATGGCCGAGCCAGAGCCTGAGATCTACTGGGTGACTCCCCTTGGGACCAAGATCACAACAGACACTGTGTCAGAGCGGTACCACCTGAACAATGAGGGGACCCTGCGGCTGTCTCATGTTCAGGTGGAGGATTCTGGCCGTTACACCTGTGTGGCCCAGAACACAGAAGGAGCTGACACACGAGTCGCTACAATCCGTGTAAATGGCACCCTGCTCGACAGCGCCCAGGTGATGAAAATCTACGTAAAGCAGACAGAGTCGCACTCCATCCTGGTCTCCTGGAAAGTCAATTCTAACGTCATGTCCTCCAACCTGAAATGGGCTTCAGCCACCATGAAGATTGACAACCCGCACATCACCTACACAGCTCGCGTCCCTGTGGATGTTCACGAGTACAACCTCACACACCTTCAACCTGCCACTGAGTATGAAGTCTGCCTCACGGTCTCCAACGTCCACCTGCAGACTCACAAGTCCTGCGTTAATGTGACAACACGTAGCGCTACCTTCGCACTGGACTTGTCAGACCAGCATCCGAGTGCAGCTGTACTGGCTGTCATGGCGACCATGCTGGCCTTCCTCAGTCTAGCCACTGTGGGTGTCTACATTGCCCGCAGATGGAAGAGAAAAAACTACCACCACTCTCTGAAGAAATACATGCTGAAGACTTCCTCCATCCCCCTGAACGAGCTTTACCCTCCGCTCATCAACCTGTGGGAGGCTGAGGGTGAGAAGGACAAAGACGGTAGCGCAGAGGGAAAACCCTCTCCTGTTGACACCACACGTAGTTATTACATGTGGTGAGGATTCAGTACGGAGGCCTGGCTGCCTCTCCAGCAGCACAAAAAGACACACTTTTGCCATTTTGGTGCAAAAGTCAAATAAAGTTGCAAATGTTTTTTTGTATTCTCAGCTTTGCTATTAAGAGGCAGAGTGATCAAGGACAGGATTTTTATTAGTATAGCGTATCGCCTTTGTTTGATTCTTTTTATCTCTTAATTGTTTTCGGACTCTCCAAGATGGCAGCTGTATTTAGCCTCCAGGTTGTCTTAGTTGCTATGCTCTTGTTTCTGTGGTGCGTTTTTGACTCACTTTCTTTTGGGTTAATAATACAGCGGCAGGAGCTGATGGTCTTCTTGCAGCATTAGTAGAAATCAGTGTTTCTTTCTCTGTTTCGTAAAACAGGTAATCTGTTGTGCACTGATCGAAAATGGAGTTTGTATGAACTTCAGTTAAAAGCTGACAGCGGGGTTTAGACTTGTTAAACTGTCTACTGAATGTTAGCAATTGTGCAGTTATGTTGTATCAACTATACCTTTGAACTTTCTGATTTAAATTGCAAGAGTATAGGATTTTTTTTTTAGTTTGCTGATAAATGTGATGTTAATGCTAGAAATATAAATGTTTGGTAAAACATTTTGAGTCTTTTTACTAAAGTGCATTAGAAACTTTTCGACCCTTTCCCTGTTTACTCACTTATTTTGCTAGACTTTTTCGCTAATTGCTTATTAGTTTATTATTTTCACATGCAGTCTGTATGCTGAAGAAGTTACAATAAATACTTTTGGTTCTTTTGCAAACATTTGGTCTGGGTTTTTTTTTCAGTTCCTGTTCCAGTTATTTTATCCTTTCAGTTCAGACAGCCACTCTCGCTTCCCGGTGATACATGAATCTTAATCGCATGTCTTAGAAGAACTTAAGCCCATCTCAATCCAAAACTGTCTGAATCAGCTTTACACCGTCACAGTGCTCACTGCCCTGAACCATCTTCACAGACGGAGCTTATACGGTGTCAGCTTAACTTCTCAATATGGGTGTGAAAGACACAAGTACTGTACATACACTCTTAAATCAGACAGACGGACAGAAAGACAGATAGATATTTGAGCAGGTGCTGCCCTCTGGTGGATGCTGAACTATAACTACCTTATTAAACCTGCTTTATATGGTCGTCACAGAGGTCAATAATCATCAAACTCAGTAATAGCAAAGTAGCACTTTGAAGTTTAGCATCAATTATACACACAGTGTTAAACAAAAATCTTCATAGAAAAAAAAGTCAGGGTTTACTGACTTCAGATTAGAACACAAATACACACACAAAGAGAAAGACAAAAGAGGCTGTTTAAATTCCCATTTGTCACAAAATTTATCAGCTTTGGTCAAAACTATATTACAGTACTTTTAAGATGAAATAATCTCTTTGTTAATCCCCACAGCAGGGTCATTTTACAGCAATTCCACTTCATCATTAAAGGAACACTTCACCCACTAAATGACCATATGTATATCAGTTAGTCATGCCATGTTACCTTGAATTCATGATGAAAACTTTGATTTTCTCACATGCCATTCACCCACCCATCCATCCACTTTCATCCACTCATCTGGGGCCAGGTCACAGGGGCCACCTCCCCAGCAATGCTTCACAGTATTTCTCACATGCCTCAAGAGAAAAAGGCTAACATATTGATTTAGTAACTGATTGGTGACCATGTTTATAACAACAGCAAAACTATATCAAAACATACATTTACAAACTTTTTCACAACTCATGCTGTATAAGCCAAGTCTCATTTATCCAGTCGTATTGCTCATTACTTCCTAAGTGAAACTTATCTATGTTCTCTTCAAAGTCAGACTCCAATACTGAGGGTTTTTTTTTTCTAAAATGCATGTGGGAAGTATTGTGCATTCAGCTAGTTAAACGAGACTTGGATTATGCTGCAAGACTTGTGTAAGAGTGTGTAAATGGATGTTTTGATATAGCTTTACCTTTGATAAGTGGTCCCCAGTCAACCAATAAATAAGTATTTTAACCATTTTCCGTGGAGGCATGCGAGAAAAACACCGTTTTCTAAACAAATTCACGGTAACACAGCATGACTACTTGATTTAGAAACGGTAATTCTGTCAGTGATGCATTGCTTTAAATATCGAGTGTACAGTTTACATTGACATTCAGTCCAAATTACAGCGACCCACTGATGAAAACATATACAATAACTTACAAAGACTTCTTTGACATTTGCAAGACCACGCCACTGAAAGTTCTCTGACCCAAGCAGAAACGACTTGAGTTATTAAGTGCTCTCTCCACCTGTGCTCAGAGGCATAAAGAGAACAGAGACGTAGGAACAACTGCCTTTTCTATTCAATTCTTGTGTAAAAAGTATAAGTAAAAATATAGAGTCATATAATATAAATATAAAGACATTCTCAATTTCACATCAGTGAGATGGCACATAAGAAAGCCTCTATTAAATTCCTTTCATTGGTTCATTCTACAATCAACACTTGAGTTAGAGAGCAGCTGGAATAATGGACCCTGTGTATAAAACAAGCATCACCGCTGCTCCTGGGAGGCACAGCGGAAACCAAGGTTAGAGGCTGTGCTGTCCGGAGTGTTCTGGCTACGGGCTGCACATCGGTATCTGTAACAGTAAGACTGGAGGAGGGGGAAAGGAGAGAGGGAAATTTACTGTCAATGAATTTATGGTGCTGCTTTGTAACAGTAAATAAAATGCAAACAGTGAAGACAATCACACAGCCACCATTTTATTTATATTATTTATACATTATTTATTGTATTTCTAATTTCGTCTTGTAGCGAGCCTATTTGTGCTCATTCATTAAGTATGTCTGACTGTTGTCCTCTCCTCCCTCGCATGGTTTATTCATATGAAACAAACCAGACCTCTGTGCTCAGAACTTATTTTGCATGCAATTAGTCACATTCCCATGGCAACCGATGCTGGTGGTAGGCAAACTGGAATGGTCACTGGTAGTGGGCGGCTCAAGTGGAGTTGCAGATAAAGTAAAGGTATCATATGCGTTGCTATGAGTTCTCTTGTTCTCTCCATTTTATACTTTTCAAGTTTTTTTTAAACCAGACAAACAGAGTCGCTGTGCAAGTGACGAGGCGACTGTGCACGCATCATCACAGAGACTACTTTAGTCTCACATACCAGGAAGAAAAGAGAGGCTGCATTTTCTCTCTTTGTACTCAAACAGGTGGAGATTAATAAAGAGATCACCTTTCCCCTTTATAAATGCTTGTGTTAGTGCTGTTGTTGCTTGGATTCAATATTTGCCATCCAGAACTACTTTGTTTTGACTGCCCTTAAAATCTGATCTCACACTGGCCTTCACATTTGATAATCGAGGTATTAAACTTGATCTTTTGTTTATAGTTTTAGAGCATAAAGCATAAAGCATCTTTACCTTGTGGCACATGTAGGACCCTCCCTTCTTCACCTTGTCGGTGCCTGATGGAGGACCTGTCTGAACAGAGACAGAAATGGTGAGATATGAGCCTGCTTTCCATCATGCCCTCACACTTTTCTGTTGGACTCAATTTTTAACTGTAAATCGGTCACAACTCAGGCTATGAGAATTATTTATGAACTACTGAACACGCACAAAAAATAAATGGGAAACAGACTTAGATGCACCAATTTCAGAAGAAACTTGGCAAAAAATGATAGGAGAAATCTTCTCCTCTTCAATATGTCTTAGGCATGCTGTTATTCAATTCAAAACTGTACACTGTCTGCATCGATCTAAAGTCAAGATTAAAGCTGACATAGATCCCACTGCGATGGATGCAGGTAAGCTCCAGCCACCCTGTTGCACGTGTTTGGACATGTCCAAGGCTTAACACATTTTGATAAACCATCTTTGAGATCTTCTCTAAAATATGTGGGTAACGTTTGAGTCGTCCCCACTGAGTGCAATGTTTGGTGAAGCCCTGGTAGACGCCCCTCTCAGCAGCTGGGAAATCAACATGCTGGCCTTCTGTTCTCACCTGGCCAGGAGATTTATACTGTTTAAATGGAAAGATCCTGTTCCACTAACATATAGTCGGTGAATCAGGGAAGCCATGTATCCTCTTAAACTGGAGAAGATTAGATATACTGTCGGAAGGTTTACTTGGAAATGTCATACTTGGCGGCATTTTTAGGATTGGTTGAGAATATGGGCGCTGACAGCATGACAGTGTAACTGATTTCCTTATCATTTCAATTTATTTGTTTTATTTATTTGACTTTTGTGGTTACATGGGTATGTTTAATGGATATATGTGTATGCCTGTTTGTACCTGAGATGTAATGTGAAAATGAAAACACTTCGAAAGACCTTGCTCAAAAAAAGAAAAGATGAGACATCAGAGCTAAAACTAAACCTGGAAGACTCAGAAAGCTTATAGGTGATGTGTTCTTACTGGGTTGTGTTGCTGGTCTGTGGTGTGATGCACAGTCCACCAGTCTGAAGTCCATTCCCAAGCATTCCCCACCATGTCATACAACCCAAAACCATTGGCGGGAAAGGACATCACCTGCAGGGAATAGGGGAAGAAAAACGCCATTAATATGCGGTCTAATTAAGATTTTTATTTCAAGCACATGTTTCTCCAGAAAGCATCGAAGAAGAGACTCACAAATACAGAATTTTTAATGTTCCATCTGGATTAACAGGTAGTCCAATCTGATTTTCTTCATTGTTTTTTCTTCTATTTCCCAACATGCAAAGCTGCTTAAATGAGACAGTAATTAAAATAAATTGTTAAATGTAACATTTGTGATTTCATAATCAGCGAAGCATAAACGTCCCTGTATTTTCAGCTAGTGGGACCAGATGGATGCACTTTCCTTCAGCAGCTCATACCCGTCAGTTTTTTTTTTTTTTCAATACAAATACGTTATTGAAGGCTTGCAGGAGTTAATAAAAATTCACATTTGCTTTCATATGATGTTTTTCAGAATTATAGCATCCCAACAATGTTAATATATTTCAAAGTGGGGAAAAAAGTAGAGAAAATAAATATAAAGAAATAAGAAAATAATAATAAAATAAAAAAGAGAAAATGATTGAGAAATAAGAAAATGAAGTAGGCTAGTATGAGTGTGCATATACATACACACACATACAATATATATATGCATACATGAATACATACATATATACACATACATATCTGTATATACCTACACGCATACACAAAGAAGAAAAAAAGACTCTTCTCCTTTAAGGATTTTAGTGCATACATTCATGATTGATACCTCTAAGTCAGAGCTTTAAAGCCCCCCATGTGGTAAAAGAGATTGGATTAATATTATCTAATAGTTATTCATTTGATCTCTGGAAGCTGTGAGCTGCTGGTGTGACTTTATCAACATCTGAGATGAGCTCTTATCTCCAGCACCTTTCATTTCCTGTAGATTCTATAAGCAGTGGCTCAATTATAAACCTGTTTCCAGTTCATGAGCACAGTCACTCTTCCTCATCCCTGACCTGAAATATGATGCGTCTTTAACACACCCATAACTGTGGCATTTCTCATCTTCCCGTATCTGCCTTACCGGTGAAGTTTTGATGTATCCATCCTCTCCAGAGTTATGGTTTGGGAAATCCCCCTGCCAGAGGTTGGCGTAGTGTTGTCCTTTCGGGTTCAACTTGTTTCCCCAGGGGTAGAGTCTAATTACAGGGGCAGTATATCAGGACACTGACAGGAGACATACTGTATGAAAACTGCAGCACATATGCAAGCACATTGGTGTGTTTTATAGTTAGTTAGTTATAGTAAATATTGTACCTGTCTTTGAGGCCGCCCCTGCAGGCGTACTCCCATTCTGCCTCTGTAGGAAGTCTCCTGTTGGCCCAGGAACAGTAGGCGACTGCATCTTTCCAGGACACATGTAGAACAGGATGGTCCAGCCTACAAAAAAAATAACTGAGCTTGTATTTTGTTTTATTAGTTTGCTTTGGCCAAAAGATAGATAAAAGAAGTAAGAGACAGGTGAGATTTTACTTTTGAATTAATACTTAAAACTTAATGGAGTCTGTCTTGAAGAGATACTTCATCCCCAAATGACCATTTGCATATTAATTACTGGGACCATTTTACTTTGAATTTATGAAGAAAGCTTTGTTCTTCTCACATCCCTCCAGTAACCTGAGAATCCCAAAACTGAGAAAATTCTTGATGTAATGAGGTAAAAGGGGTCCGCATTTAACAACAACAAAACTATATCACTAGATCATTTTACAAACTCTCACACAACTCATGCAATATAATCCAAGTCTCATTTATCCAGTCGTATGCTCAGTACTTCCTAAACAGACAGCCCTTTAAGATGGGGAACTAACTGAAAGTGAAAATTTTCTGTGTTCTCCTCAAAGCCAGACTCCATTGACAAAAAGATTATTTTTGCCTCACTGAACACAGGAGCTGCTGTTCTACCACTGTCTCGATCTGTTGGTTTGTTTGCGTTATTGTGTGCCTTTAGTTAATCTGAACTAACCCTTTGAAACACCAAAGTTTCATTTTTAAACTTCTGAACTTGCCCTGAGCCAAACAGCCTTGTCCCAAACAAGAATATATGACTAGAATAGAATATATTTGTTTGAAACAAACAGTACGTACTGATAACATTGGTGTAAAAATGTACTGCAATAATCATCTTTGTTTTGAATATATTTTTTGTGAAAATGTTGGCCCTTTAAAGACCTGTCAACTGTGTCAGTTTTCTACAAAAACATCATTTAATCAGGTATATAAAGGGGTAAGCTATATCCAAAGGACTCCTGTCTCACTTCCTGGTTTCTAAAAAGCTGAAGTGCTGCTCAAGCACTGGTAAGCTTTCTACTTTTTGAGTAATTCATTAAATAATATTGCTATCGAGTTTGTCTCAACTGTAACATGTCAAATCCATAGCCCTTCTTAATCAAAACTAAATAAGAATTATGATTTAAAAATGAGTATTTTGATTAGCATGAAGATGCTTACTACGACTGCTGTGAAATGAATTTAATATAACTTTCTGTCAACTCCATAAGACGTCAGCGCCATCAGATCTTACCTCTGACAGCCATCATGGATGACGTTCAAGAAAAACATAAATCACTGGGAGGTTGGCTCATTACAAGGTTTAATAACCAAGACTTCAGTCTTTTAAAGTGTATTATATAAGTGTATTATTTCCAAGGTGGGTGATGGGGAGCAGAATCTGCAGTCATTGCTCTGTTTAAAATGCATTTGGAAGTGCAGAAGAAGCTCACATGAAACTACAGCAGTCAGCAGCAGGTTTGATCCAAACTTAGTCTTTTCAGTGCCAAATTCCTGGTGTTTTCTGGACAAAATGTTTCCATGAAGAGTTGCAGTGGAGGGACAAAAAAGACCATAACTTCAGACAAACCCACAATATTTGTCTCACTCACTGCTGAAGCCTTATATTTGCTTTTTCTGAACTTCAGAATGAGCACTGCGGATTTTGTTCCCCATTGCTTACACTAAAATCACTTCCATGACCAGTATGGTAACTGTAAGAAATGGTTTCAATGTACATATCAATGTGCCAGTATTGTTTTAAGACAGAAAAAAATGTGAACCTTTAATTTGATATAACAAAAAAAAAAAAAAAAAAGGTGAAAATGAGCGTTTGGGGGTTTCTAGCATATATGGAGCATCTTTCTACCTGTCTGTGATGTCAGAGTCTGGACCATCAGGGTGCCTCCAGTTGGCCCCTTTGACTGGAAGCCACCAGGGGGCAGCAGCCACCTAATAACAAAGTGATGGGTACAACGATTACTGGCTAATATTATGCTTCTTTCATACTCTTCATTCCATTTTCTCTCCCATAAACACGCTGCAGGGTTAATCTAGAATTGTCTTTAGCGTGTATGATTGCAATGGTACTAATGCTTTCCAGTGTTGCCACACTAATGGCTACACAGCATCTTCTCAGCCACATGATCAGGCTGCACATGACAGTTGAGATGAAGCAGTAAATTCTGGCTTTCGTCTGTGGGAGGCCTGCTGTGCTCAAGCTTCTTACAACCAATCTGTGAACATTCACAAGACTCTTAAATAACAGTAGTACATGTCGTCTGGTCTATCTAAAGCCAAAAATATGTGCAACCCAAGGCTGGAGAGTTCTGCAGAAATGGGCTTAGTGCACATATATTACTCTACAGATGCTCACATACATCAATATAACATCACATGGACAAAATGACAGATACGCAACATGGAGATTGTTAATTTTCTCTCACATTACGTTTCAATAAACACACAAGGGTGGTCTTTCTTTTCCTCACATGGCTTCCATGCCATGTTATCTGACATAGTTGTTAGTTGCAGCCTTAGTAAGTAGGCAGGTGCACTTTTGATGTTGGAGTGACTCAAAAAGCAGGAAACCAAAACTCTGTCCAACTTGAACAACAAAGCATGTGAACTTCTTCCTCTGGCCCCAAGTTGCTCCAAATTTCCAGGGCAACCACAAAGAGAGTGTGCCCATCTGTGAGTCATTTCACGTTTGCGTGTGTGTGTGTGTGTGTGTGTGTGTGTGTGTGTCCTGATGAAGAAAAACGATCAAGGTGTACATGTCTGAAGTCTTTCTACAGGGCTCCAAAAGGCTGAGACTAATAATCGTGGCACTAACAACACTTCATACTGGAGTAGTGTCAGAAAAAAAGTGAGTTGTACAGGTGTGTCGGCTGTTGAATAATCACACTTACTGCCTGGGTGATTTGGTTCTTCACACTCTCACTCAAAATCCCCTCGAATACAAATGAGTCTCCAAATTTCTCTGCCTAAAAGCACAAGGATAAAAACATTATGAGCCGAGGGGATGTCTGTTAACCTCATAGCATTAAACATAGATAGGTAGATAGATAGATAGATAGATAGATAGATAGATAGATAGATAGATAGGTTCACACACACATACATACCTCAGTAATGTATCCTGTGGCATTGACGAAGCTTTCAAACTGTCTGACAGAGACTTCCTGGATGTCCATGTAGAAGGAGTCCACATGCACCGGCCTCTGAGGACCCTCGCCATCTGCAGGGATGGCTGGGTTGTCCGTTCCCATCAGGAACTCTCCTCCAGAAATCAGCACCATCTGTAGCAGGAAATAACCTTTTGTAAGTGCTTTCACATGCAGACAGAAATGTTTGAAGAAAGTTACGGAAGTAACAGGATTAAGAGTCTTTAAAAAGGCTGGAAACTTAATCTATTCTACACTTAGGAGTAATCAGATCATTAGGCTGCACAATACCGCCATAAACTCCAGAAGTTCATGTCAAAGGCATACAGTGCAGTTATAAAATCATATCAACAGCAGTAAAAGGGTACAAATAAAATGTAATGAGTAAATGTATGAAATAATAAAAAGCATACCTCAGAAGAGGAGATCATTATGAGACTGACACTTGGCTATTTACATATTTGTGCTATTTAAATGCAGTGTTAATGCAGCTTTGAAACGCATAGCTGTAATTCGCTTTTCCTCCAATTTGTCCTACAGCACAGCACCACATGTCACCTACATTGAATTATCTGTGTATTGTGCAGAGCCTGTTGTCTAATATTGCCTGAGGTTTCACAGAGCACAGAGAGGCAGTTCATGCCTCGAACTGACTCTGAGGCAGTCAGACTGCTTCACTAGGATTGGCAAACCCCGGCTATGACCTTAACTGTCTCTAACCCTTGCCAAAAATAACAATCTAATTGGAGGAGCTTGTGGAGGGACACACTGGAGCATAAAACACATTGTCCTTTCCTCAGAACCAGCTGAGAGCAGTCTATAAATAATAGTGAATAAGGAAACAGAATAAATACGGTAGTCCACTTATTTCAACCGCAACACAAACATGCGGTCCGTCTCGGAAGCAGTCTGAAATAATAAAAAAAACTGTTGGAGAGTATCTCGAATAACGAGTAGGCTCATCAGTCCATTAAAGGGTCACTTTGATATTTTTCAGCCTTAAAGGGATAGGATCAGGGATCAGATTTTTTGAAGTGGGGTTTTATGGGGTATTTATTCATAATCAGTGTATCACGTAGTAGATGTCAGTTGGCACACCCTCAATTTAGAGAAGCGGACTGGAGTCCGACACAGAAGCTAAGCAATGTACAGCTGTGGATGGGGGTCATGCCCAGTCAAACATATTTTTTGTACCTGAAAAAAAAAAAAAAGTCCCACATAAAAAAAACCCAATCTGTATCAGTTTAAGTATACGCTATATTAAGAGTATTATAACTGCTTTACCTTACTGTCAGACAGTGATATCTGATGAGATAAGTCGAGTCTCGCTTTTAATAGAGCAATGTAATGGCTTCATTTTCCCGTCGGAGATCACTTTCTGACAGCAAGGTAAAGCATTGAAAATATTCTAAATACAGACTACACTTAAACTGATGTAGATTTTTTTAAAGTCGTTAAAATACATTTGTTGCTGACCCAAATCCATAGCAGCACATTGCTTAGCTTCTGTGTCAGACTCCAGTCTGCTTCTCTAAATTGAGAGCGTGCCCACTGACATATTGTATGTAATATACAGTCTATGAATAAGTACCCCATACAACCCCACTTCAAAAGATCAAAATTATCCTTTTAACCCTGTAGTTGGCAGCTGTGAAACAGGCTGCAATGTAATCATTCGCGGCAGTTATGAAATGTCAATTTACATCCGGTAGAAGTGCTTGTTTTTTGCCACTGACAGACTCAGATTGCCATTATAAGAGTCTGACAACATTATGGAAATGACACCTACAGAGGTGGACCTTTTTGTTAAAGTGCAAAATCCTTTTAGTCTAACCAGAAACAGCACTGAAATCACTATTGTCAAAGATCAGACCCAAAGAGGTGGTCTCGGTCCAGATCAAACTGAACCATGGAGCTACGGTAGCATATCACAAGAAGAGGAGACAACTTTATAAAGAGTTAGTTGATGAAAAATTGACAAAAACTGACACTTTCTACTTACTAATTACCTTCCCAGAGGATGAGAGAGAGACGACAGGAGAGGACAGAAGAACCTGTCTATAAACCAATCAATGTCAAGTACAAGGAGATGTACCTCATGTAGGTGATGACAACAGCACGCAGGTATGTCATACATGCTTCTTTAATGTGCTTGCATATTTGCAATGTGAAACCCAAACTAACTGGACCAAACATATACAATGTAAGAAAAATGTGCTCAGACTTTCATGTGTGTAAAAGCCCTATTAGATGTAAATTGATGGTGCATACCGTAAAACTTCAATTAAAAGCCTAGTCTCTCTTTCTAGCCTGGTGTGGCTACACATTTTGATGAATAAAGATTAGACGCCTGGTCTGGTTGCCAAGCTGTTTACTTTTACAGAAGTTCTTTGGATGTGTAAAACCAGATTGTTTACTCTCCCCTTGAGCTAACATTAGGTGTTTAGATTGTACATATAAATATAAATGTTTAAACTTTTGTCAGTATGGAGATGCTACACATCATTAGCTCATTTTATTTCATTTTACTGAAACCATGATCACCAGAGAAGACCGTAATTCATTAAAATTTACCAGCATGATGAAAAACAAGTGGTGACTCACTTCCTCTGAGGCTGTCATAAAGTCTGATTATGTTTCCATTCCTCGATTAGCCAGTAAATTATATATATTTATATTTCTTGTTTCCGTAAGGGTCCACTGATCAAAAGAGTCAAATGTTTTTATGAAGACTAATCCAAGTTAGGAAAATTGTTTTAACAGTATAAACTGGCGTTGTGTCGGTATGCAGGGTGCCGTAATCAACAAGTGTCATAACATAATACATATTTGACATGTTATTCAAAGCCTTATTTTTATCCAAGTAAAATTCATACTGAGTTCAAATAAACAATTTGATTGTATTTTCCATCTTTGCTGAGCAACAGTTTGGTGTGAAAGGAATTTAAGGCCTGTCTCAAATACAGGCCTGTTGAGTTCAGCAATTGAAGCAAATAATAGCCTACTACTAAGGCTACTAGTGGAGGCTTACGGTAATTGCCTTGAGTGGTTACACTGCAACCCATTTCGCCACTGCCAGTTGCAGCGCTCTCACTCAATGCTGGCCCAGTTTCAAAAACTGTTTCTCCCAGTAGACACAGAAACATGGAAAAACAGGGTACTGGCTGAAAAATACCCACTACCTTTTAAATCCATTCGACTTGGTACCTGGTTGAGATGAGTTGAACTGATTTGCAGTGCAGAACTGTGCAGCTGCTGAGAGGGTTTTTAGTCTGTTAAAGGCAGTGGTTCTCAAACTTTGTATGTCATGCCCCTCTTCAGAAGCTGAAAATTTTACTTTAGTCAAATCAGGCCCAGCATGATGGCTGCAGCAAACTCTTGTTTACGTTTCCTGCATAGATCATATTCATTCATCTCCATATTTATCCCTGGTCATTCATGCTCCATCTGCAGTGACTCCCCACACTTTGAGAACCACTTCAGCAGGACAAATACCACACAAGTCTAACTTGTATGTACTGAGCCCTGTGTGTGGAAGATGTCATCATGTTAGGGAGATCATCCTCGAACTCAGTTCAACTTTAATGCATGTTTAGTTAATCTAATGTGGTCTGTACCTTAGGCTATATTTCAGTTTAGGTTTTAAATAATATGAAGTAACATTTCTAGATTCCCTGGTGGTCCACTGAGCAGAAGTCTCAGTAGGGACATGTGTTGCATGTCTTGTCTACTGTAAGCTGTCAAATAGAATAATAAAAGGACAGCAGCTGTATATTACCTGACTTTGTATCTTCTTCTCCTCTCCCTGGGCCTCAGGGTGCCTCTCATTGGCGCTTCTGGAGTATTTGTCCGCTGGCTCTGCAGACTCTGTCCCGTCCTCCACAGGCTCCACAGCAGCGGCTCTCTTCAGGCTCTCACAGCCGCAGCCGGCTGCTCTCTGCGGGGCGGCGGGTTCTGACTGAGCCCCGCATGAACCCTGATTACACAGCACTTCATTCACGCAACCAAAGACTAACAACAAGGCAAAACAGTGAGGCATACTTGCAGGACGCGGGTCAAGATGTGCTCATGTTGTTGATACTCTGACTTCCGCAAAGTCACGTGGTCAGTCAGCTGGCTGCGGTGTAAGACAAGTAACTCTTTCCTGCCCGGAGTGAATGTTGGTTGTTTATTTCTATTTGAAAAGTGACTAAATTGCAAAATATGATGAAATATATAAATAAAGCAGATTCAGGTTGTTTGAATGTACATAAAATGACGCCCTTGAAAATATTATTCAGATGAATGATCAAACAAACCCATAAATGTGATGCTGTTTGACAGTTTCGATCCAACAGGAGACTTTTTTTTTTTTTTTGCACCGTTAAAATCAGTGTGAGCACAGCTTGGATTCCCCTGGTGGTGGGATGGGACCACATGGACATCATTTCCCAGCTATCAACACTACGGCCGCTTGAGAAGAAGAAGAAGAAGAAGTGGCAGCGAGCCAGGCAGCTGAGCCGAGCCAGTGTGCTGCCTGCCTCAGTGAACACAGCCCCGGAGCACCGACAGGCGCGGAAAGGTGATAGAGCTGTCACACACACACACACACTAAAAACTGGATTATTACAGTCGCTGACGGCTGGATCTGCCCCTCGGCCCGGTGGTGAAGAGGAGAGCCGCAGTCATGTTGTCCTAGCCGGTCCAGAAGAAGCTGAACACCCGAGCGTTTACCACGACCGAGGTAAAGTTGAGCGCACAACTTGTGCAGTTTACCATCTTCCTATCTCTATCTGCTGGCAGCGGAGAGGACAGAGATTTGGTTCGCTCTCCTTAAATGGTTAACAAAATGTTCCCAGCTCATGACCAGCGCCTGTGATGTCCTCGTTTACACACAGTCAAAAACAACCAAAGAAATGAGTCCGACAGTCATTTGGGATTAACTGTGAAAGTGTGATTGCGGATGCCGAATCCAATGACAGCGCTTTCGCGTTTGCTCAAGTTTCCTGTGGGTTTTATTGGTGGGATCAAAAGGCCTGCAGGGAAGATGCGCACCTTTGTTGTGTAATAGCTGACCGTTGCGTGATTTATGTCACAGTTTTGGGCTTGCAACACACGGCCATTTCTTTGAGTGTGTTTCTGTGTGATTTATCGACCTCAGTGAGAGGCAGTGCTTCAGATAACCTGAGTGAGGTGGCCCTGCACTGCTCACATATCAGCTGTAGCGGCGATGACCTGTTGCAGGTGCACAAACCTTCCTGGTGGCTGGCTGCAGCTCCCTAATCATTAACTGTGTAGCCCTGCAAACCACAACACAAACAGGCAACAGTAACAGCAGAGAATTTCCCTGCAGCTTCTATGCAAATCCTTGCAGCCAGACATAGAGAGAGTGGCATCAGTAAGTCTCACCCTGTCAGGGAGGGAACCCTCGCTTTTTAACAGTTGCACTGCCAGCTAAGTACTCAGTGGCTATATGAATATGTGTGTGGATATTTAGTGAGTGTATTGACATGATCATATCTGCAAATGCAAACTGAATCCACCACTGGTGTTATTTAGCAGCATCTTAATAGTTGTAGATTATTTTCACAATCATTACAGATATTATCATAATGGGATTTGAAATAAGGATGCCTCTGCTGCTCTTTAGCAGGGCTGTGTATTGGCAATAATCTGGAGATACGTGAGTATCACAATACAGTGGTGATGATTCAGTATATTGCCATACTGTAAGCAAGGCGATCTTTTTAAATCTAATTTTAAGAAAACGGTTATAGTATAAAGCAGTGGTTCTCAGCTATGTGTCAGGGGTCCTTGAGGGAGTTACAGGGGTTTCCCTAAAAATGGGGAACTGTTTATTTTCTCTAGTTACTATAGAACTGAGCTCAGCATGAGTAAGAGTGATAACTATTCTGATTATAAGATTGTTTCACTTCCTCCACAGTTGTCTCCTCAACTGTAGTTGACAGCTAGTGAATTCTTGTTAATCATATCTAACAACCAACATCTTTTCAGATGGGGGTCCCTGAAGCAAAATCTTATGGCGGTCCATGACATAATGTGTATCAATTTATGGGTCCTTGCATTGGCAATTATGAGACAGTGGGTCCAGCTAAGAAAAAGGCCTCACCACCTCTCCTACACAGGAGCAAGACACACAGACTTTGTGGAAGTTTTGCGCCTCTTTGTAGTTCTTTTTTTGGGGCGTTTTGTCCCTTTGAGGTAATTTTCTGTCTTTTTTTTTGATATAAAGAACACACTACCATTCAGAACAGTGTGATCAACATCATAGCACTACCTTGTAACATTTGCCTCTATCAGTAAAAAATAAAGTAGAAGTGCACGATTCTTTAGGTGAACAAATTAAGATAATAAAAAGCAAACAATAAAAAATCAATAAACGTAATATCGCATTACTTAAGTGTATCAATATTTTCTTACACCCCAGCTCTTTATGCTTTTGTGATGATAGCACATCTAACATTGGGAACATTTTACTAATTTTTTCTCCTTTCCTCCACTGTAGGTGTTCCCTGTGTGTCAAACATGTCGGATAAAATGTCGAGCTTCCTGCATATCGGGGACATCTGCTCCCTGTACGCAGAGGGATCCACCAATGGTTTCATCAGCACCCTGGGGTACGTCCATCTCACTGGCCTAACATTTGTGTGTGGGCCTGCTTCACACTTCTCTCGGTTTCTCTGTTTCACTCCAAGCTGAGCAGCATTTGTAAGGCAGGAAATCACACTAGTAGTGGCCACTGTTAACCACTTTTTTAGAAAGTTTGATTTAGTGATAACCAAATTCTGGTGCCTTTAGAAAGAGCATCTCTGGATTTTGAGTCCCTGTGTAAACGTTTGTTTGCATGTGTCACAGGCATTATATGTAGTTAAGGGGAGATAAATGGATGTAAGATTGCAGTTTATCTTTTGGAAGAAAGCTGTGAAAACAGTAGGAGGCCTTTGATGTGATGCCTTGGCCATGGCGGACCCCGCCACTGATAGTGCTGGGAGAAAAGGAAATATATGGGCGGCAAATGCACAGTTAATGATAAAGTGTGTGTGTGTGTGTGTTTGTGAGAGGGTGGCAGGAGTGGGTGGGGAGGGCAGAGTTGAAGGGAGAAAAAAAAAATGCTGAGGTGGTGCTTCGTGCAGTACACAACACTAATGGTAAACCTCTGTTTACAAGCTACTGATTCACCCACACAGGTAAAGCAATGTTGTGCTGTTTTTGTACATTAGTTCCACCTCATATAAACACAATAACAGCAGTTCTGATGTTCAGTTAGATGTGTATTGATCATTTACTCTATTTGTGGGAATTGCAGAATGGCCTAGGGCATTGTAGTCTTAAAGGAACACTTGATAATTTGTTTATCAGTTACTCATCCCGTATGACATTGTATTCGTGAAGAAAACTTTGTTTTTCTCGCATGCATCCACAGTAAGTGAAGAATCCAAAATGGAAGAATAATCTTGTTGAAGAGAAGTAAAGGGTTTCACATTTAATAACAGCAAAACTAAAACATCCGTTTCCAAACTCACAACTCATGCAGTGTAATCCAAGTCTAATTTATCCAGTCGCATGCTCTGTACTTCCCAAACACAGGCCTTTTCACCAAAACCTTACTATTTAAAACACTTGCACAGTCACACACACTGATGACTAGCGAACCTGGTCAAGTTCAAGCGTTTCAACTCAGCTTGTGCATTCCATTGAGTTCAAAAGCACATGCTTGCCCAAGCGCGCTATTCATCTGTGCGTGTGACTGTTTATGTGGTGTGTTTTAAATAGTAAGGTTTTAGTGAAAAAGCATGTGTTTGGGAAGTTCTGACCATAAGACTGGATAAATGACACTTGGTTTATACTGCATGAGTTATGTGAGAGTCTGCAAATGGATATTTTGATATAGTTTTGCTGTTGTTTAATGCAGACCCCCTTTACTTCAATTCATCATGAATTTTCTCAATTTTTATAATTCTTTGTTTGCCCTGGAGTCATTGGCGAGAAAAGATGAATTCAACATAACTTTGGGTGAGTAAGTGATACACAAATGATCATTTTGTGGGTGAAGTATTACTTTAAGATATCACTGACACACTTGTTGCATTTAACCTTTCTTCTTCTGTTCTGAGTGAAAACAGGGCAATAAGACAAAACTAGCGTTAATGCTTTGCTAGTAGAAACCATAGTATATTTCTAGGAAGATGCTGTATATTGTAGCATCTGTAATGCTAGCAGGGCTATCAGCTTAGTGTCCAAGACCTCCCCCCCGCTCATGAAAAATGGAATGACCTACAGCAAAGACTGAGTCACTATAGAGACATTGTGGCCTTTCTCGAGTTCCTGCACTTCCCACGTACACACAATCTCTTTCTCTCTCTCACACACACACATACATACACATACAAGCGCACATATTTACAAAACTGTCATGACAGATTTGGCCAGGAGCCATCTTTTCCACGCACAACCACCAACTCAGCAGCATTCTCCAGATCATCTGCCCTTAGAGAAAGAAATCATATTGAGAAGAGAGAAGGCTCTATGAGAATTACAGCGTCTCCAGCTGAGCAGCATTCCCTGCTCCTGTTTCGTAACTGGAGATCAGAGTCTGTGGGCAAATTAAAGGTTAAAAATGTTAAAAATGCTGCTTTGTACAGTGAGCCTGCAACAGGACCTGCACTGTTTGTTCAAAGGTGTAACTGTTAAACTGATGTTAATTGCTAACTGGATTAGCAAGTTATTATGATCGTCCACATATGCAGATGACCGCACACACATGCACACACGCATGCTCACACACACATAGTCTGTGTGATTTCTTCTTCACACTTGCGGACATTTTCTCACTTTTTTAATTTAAGTCTGCAGCCTTGGTCCTTGAGGTGTACGGTCTGGAGCAGTAGACGGGTCTGTTTGGACAACTGTAGACATTCCCCGGGAAAAAGGCTTGAAATGGATGTGGGATTTGGCCCGTGTCCAGACAAGTGTTATTCTAAGCCAGTAAAAGTTAAATTTGTCACCAGAAATTCCAGCCTGCCCACAGGTCATCCATTCCAGAATGATTTTCATTATTGTGTGGAGTCTCAGAATAAATATGCCGCAGCTATGTCAGAGCTCTCAA